CAGACCGCCAGACACCGTCCACATATACTGAGATGGATTAGGCTGTACGTGCATTGGCGTGATCGACACAAAGAGTGTATTTTGTCGATGACCTCAACAACCTGCCCCACAATCGATCATCCTTCTCGAAGTTGCGAAGACTTGCTCCTTTTAGTTGGAGAAAACGCGTTAAAGGTGGGTTGACGTCTACAACTTCCAGATTTACCGTTCGAAGAAAAAATTGCCAGTTTTATTACCGAAAGAAGCACAGATGACCAGCATATCGATTGACCACGTGCACATAATCAATAGACATCCAGGTGCACTAGTATGCAATAAGTTTTCTTTCAGCAAGAAGTATTATACGCAAATGGTTTCATCGGCATATACCATGTTTCAGAGCTGAACCTCGAGCTTTTCAACCACTCATGTGATTACCACTCTACCTAGACTTGAATAAATCAAACCATTCGGGAAAGTTGCCGTCGATTTTGTGGGAACACTGCTCTGTTACATCTTCTTCGAGTCACTAAGGCGTATTGATGCATATTTGTATGCATGGCGAATAGAGCTTTCCTCTGACTTGTCAACACCAACGTTTATTGCAGCACATAAACGATTTATTTCTAGACGAGGGCGTTGCACAGACTTGTATAGAGACTAACGTCGAGGATAATCGATACTTAAGAGAAGTGCAACAAATTCTTAAGTCCCTTACGACCACCCGCTATGTTTCTGAAAATCAAATAGCCTGACATTTCAATCTTAAAGCTACACCGCACGTGGGGGGCCTCTGGGAAGCAGCGGTTATATCTGCGAAAGGGTTTTTAAGTCGTATAACCCAAGAACAAATCCTTACGTACGAAGGACTCAATACGACTATGCATAAAATAGAATAATTTCGAGACCATTAGGAGCACTCTCCAATGACCCTAATGACTTTGCACCACTCACAGCTTAATATTCTTTGAATATGGGTCCGCCTGGTTCTATATCATAACCGTACACCCAAAACCATCCATCTGTACACAACCTGCATCGAAGTTGGATCTTGGTTCAACAAGTTAAATTTCACTTTTGGCAACGATGGCAAAAAGAATACCTGTATATAATATAAGCCGGGAATAAATGGCAAGGCCCAACCGTAACCTGGTCGTAGATGACTTGGTCATCATTAAACAACCCGCATCCCCATTCACATGGAATATAGCACCCGTTGTCAAAATATAGCAGCTCAGACAATTTAGTGCGCAGGGTGGATGTCAAAATAACAACTGAGAAGACGCTCAGGCATCCAGTGATGAGATTATGCCCTTTTCCGCTGTGATTGAATGTGGGACCATGTATGATCTGGCAATGGACATAACTATACAGTGATAGAATGGTGGGATAGTAGGTGAAGATAACCGGTTCAAAGGCTTATCACGGCTTAGCCAGTCACTGTGATCGTTTGCACCAACACGACAGTGTTCAGCTTGTGTTTCGCATCGACAACAACGTATATTGTGGTCGAGGTTATTTTACTACACTTGTCGGTTATGTGTTTATTGCCAGTGATCATGACTACCATATACTCTGCATCCTGATCCAAAAGATAGTTGTTACTTGGGATTCGGTACCAGATAATTGATATTGCTCAGCATTCTCAGTTTTTTTTTTATCCAACCATTTTAATTTTGATGGTCGGGTATTGCTCTCTCCCGCTTTATTTAAAACTACAGCCTCGATACCATCCAGAGCACGGGCAAGTGCTCGTAATTCGCTGAACAATTTCAGTCACTGAATACGTACATGAACTCTAATTCATCACGCATGAGTCCATTAACCATATCATCACCTTTCTCTTTCTCAGGCCAAGGGTTAACCTCCAATACAACTGGTACATGTGTATGAAATACTCCCCAGTGTTAAGATTTTGGTCTGCGCGGTGCTTAACAGATTGTAGACTCGACTGCAACTTGTCCACGTTAAACTTTTCCAATAGTTTAGATTTGAACTTTTTCCCTGGTAAATCCAACGCACTTGTGGTTTCCCACCATGTTCCTACCTGTTCCTTCAGCTGAGGCACCAAAGCAATCATCCATCTAGCCTTGTAGATACCAAGCAGTTTCTTCAGGTATTGCCTCGGCCTGGAACAAAAACCACACTATGTCTACCTGCCTTTAACCGACAAACTGATATCGACGCACAGGCCATATTCAACTAAATTTGAAGAATGAGCAAGCTGTTTGGGAAATGCACATGTTGTACACCGAAAAAACTACTCCTTGTGGCTCTTCCCCACGACTTCTACCGGAAACTTTTCCGGACAGATCACTGAAGATTCCTGATATTTCATTGGACCATAGGCGGAGATTGGGGGGTGCTTGGGGGGACTTAGCCCCCCCAAAATTATCAAACATTTTTCATGGTATATAATATTAAAATAGGTACTTATTTTACAACGATTGACAAAATCTTGGAACTTCACAAAATATTTTTTTTTCCCGAAATGTTGTCAAAATAAATGTCAATATAATAATTATTATTATACCATATTATACCTCGTAATCGTCATCGGTGCGCACCGGCTGACCGTCGCGACGGATTGTTATCGCATTTATCGCAATGACAAAAATAGAAATTTCCAATAATCACAGTCTGATAAACATTATTAATGTGCCGAATGCCGATTGCTGTTTCGACCGTTTCGTTTATCGTGTTGCGTCTTGCGTTGTTTACTGTTGTTGTAAATCGTAATTTCGGTCGAATACTCGAATACTTTATTAATTATTTATTAAAATGTCGAATTATTTTGAATTATTTAATATTAAAAAAAAACCTAAAGAAACTGTAAAATCTGAAAACGTGTTGCCGACGGAAATTCCTGAAAAAACTACAGTACACTCCGACGGCGACTCGTCATCGAATATTGATTTTGATTCTCCGCGGCTTCATATTAGTGAAATAAATGATTTGGGTAATATTAACTCTGGTCCATCACGTCCAATTATGAAGGTAGGGTAGATATTATGTATTTGAGATAAATATTGGCAATATTGCTTATAGGTAGCTTATTTTGTATTAAAGTTATTTGCATGCTAAAATGTATAGAGTGACTTTAGTGACTACTACTTTTAATTTATGCTCCAGTCTTATCCAATGACAAAATTTGGTCAACAAAACCGTAGTTTTAATGCATCATATTACGACTGCTTTGAATGGCTTGAATATAGTATCATCAATGACGCTTTGTACTGTTTTGCTTGTCGTATTTATGGTTCTGGGAAC